GGGGGACAGCTTGAGGCTCTGTCTCAAAAAAAAAAAAAAAGACAAAAAGTGCTTTATTTGCAAGCATATGCCTGGGCCACTCTTCCCTTCAGTGTGACTGGAGGAAGGGGACCCCCTAGTGAAGCGAGCTGAGGTTTTTAAAGTGCATAGAGGAATTTCATCTGGTGTTTTGTTGGGCTGGGCTGCTATTGGCTGAGCTGTTTATGGTTAGGGACCCTCTAGGGGGAGCTACTGGTTTGTTCAAGACAGTTTGGCTCCTTCTGAGCTAATTGTCCTTGCCTAGAAGCGGGAGGGAGCCAGTCTCCTTCTGATATAGATTCCACCTGGGTGACTTTGCCCAGGAGGAGAGTAGGGAGTTTACATTAGCCTTTTCATTTCCAAATGAAGTTACATTAACTCTTCATTCCCAAGTGGACTTACATTAACCTTTTCAGCAGCCAAAAACCGTATATCCCCTTCCTGTTCTCCCGCAGTTCCCTAGCTTGTCATGCATTCTTTCCAAAAATCGGGACTTTTTTAAAAATCGGGATTGTCCCACCAAAAGCAGGACATCTGGTCACCTTACTCTAAGAAGATTTAGTTTTTGCAATTTATATCTATCAAAAACCACACGATGAGAACTGTTGGCTTAGACTAATCAAATGGGAAGACTGGAGCCCCAGATCTTAACCATAATGTTCATGGCAGGATTAAAACTAAGGATTTAATAAAGGTAAATGTAAAGTTCTGGACTTAACTCAGACAATTAATTGTCCAAAAATGGTGGAAAAGAGACCTAGCTTGGCTTCAACTCACATAAAACAAAAACAAAAAGAACTCTAAGATTGGAACAGTTTCCAGACCACATAGCTCACTGGTTCCTAAATATTGGTTCCCAAACTGGAACAAAATTTTGCTTTTTATTCTGAGATTTGAAGCATCCTTTTTCTTTCTTTTCTGTTTTTTTAAGATAGAGTCTCACTCTGTTGCCCTAGCTAAAGTGCCATGGCATCATAGCTCACAGCAACTTCAAACTCTTGGCCTCAAGCAATCCTCCTGCCTCAGCTTTCTGAGTAGCTGGGACTACAAGTGCCCACCACAATCCCAGCTATTTTTAGAGATGGGAGGGTCTCACTCTTGCTCAAGGCTAGTTTCAAACTACTGAACACCACCCACCTCAGCCTCCCAGAGTGCTAGGATTACAGGCATGAGCCACCGTGCCTGTTCTAACCATCCTGTTTCTTATTGTTAAATGTCTTCTTTTATTCAACTAATGGTGAAAATATGCATTCATTCATTTTCTTTTCTTTTTTTTTTTTTT